ATAAACTTTACCAGAGGGAGACTTTGTACAAAAGTCGATTGCTTGGATACTTCTGTCCCATTCGTGTTTCTACCGTGAAGCAGTTGTTTGCATGGCTGTATTTCAGTTTGAAGGGTGGGATATGGCGTGAATTTACAGAGGAATAACACCTGAGTCCTCAGGAATGGCAACGCATGGGAAGTATCATGGGCGAAACAGTATACTCTGTTATGTCCATGGTACTGCTCATGTCTGTAGGCGACGGTTACCACTCTCCATCAGGTGGGCCGTCAGCTTGTTTGCCATTCTAACTTGTATAAAAAAAAAATACACACATATTATTTTTACTCAAAACATTTATTTTCTTAGAGTAATTAAGTAATAGAAATTGGTAATAGCCGACAACTTTATATTGAGTTTATCTGGGCATTGATAGCTTATGCTACATATAAGTACATATCATAAAAAAAAATCCAACAAGCGAATTAGGAAACTAACTTGTTTTAATCGTAAAATATTAAGAAAAAAGCCTAATTGAAAACTTTAATTTTTTTAGTTATCAAATAAGAATTGCCAAACATTGGCGACCAATATACAATAACAGAGCAGTAGTAGGTAAGTGGCGTAGGATATGCGTGCACTAAATGTGTTTTATTGCATTATGATTTCCGATATTACCCTTAGATAAAATTATTTATTTCCCCAATATAATAATCTAAATTGCTTCCCATGCTGAGCTTAACACTATCTATTGGTTACATTTTTTTTTTCTGTCGGCCAGACTTTTTTTTACAACACAGCAGCGAGCACGCGGCTCACCTGATGGTAAGTGACTACCGCCGCCCATGATCATACAGAACACCAACGGCATTGCAGGTGTGCTGCCGGCCTTTTAAAAAGGAATATGCTCACTCTGCTGACTCATTAGGTCAGAATTTTACACTAGATATGACGTTCTCAACATGATAATTATCTGAAGCTATCAAGTAAGTTTTAGGTCAAAATTTATATCAAACAGTGATGGATCCAGGTTTTGTCTGTAAGAGATTGCTTTTAGCCATAATATATTTATTTATTGTATATGCACATTCTGTATAAGTGTACTCCTTGTATACATCTCTACTGTGCGCAATAAAGAGTTTATTATTATTATTATGGAAGGGATTGTTGTTAATGGGGAATGGCAGCTCCATTGATAGCATGTCGACTTTCATGCTCTTGGAGATAATTATAGTTAATTCCTGGTATATTACTCATAATACACACAATTTAAAAGTTACATCAACAAATACTGCACCCGTGTTCATTAGTTTAGTATTTATTTTTAGGAGAACACAATCTTAAATTGTTTCCAAATACATGAATAGTAATTGTATCAACATTAATCAGAGAGAGATTTTGTACAAAAGTCACTTGAACACGTCTGCCCGACTTCCAAGTCGTAAGTCGCTAGTTGTATTATGTTGTACAAAAAAGTCCGACTTCAATTGGAGCAAAACCAGTTATTTTGATTTAAAAACTAAATTACTAAACCGATTTTGATAAAATTTCTATGGGGGACCAATTTTTAAGTGAATCCTTTCAAATAAAAAAAGAAGTTTAAGAAGAAATTGGTTTAAAACTGACATTAAATATATTAATTTTAAAGCAATTTAAAAAAAAAAAAATTCTACATTATATATATAATATTATTATAATTTTTATATATATCCATTATAATGTCTATATTATTCATAATTGTATAAATATATGTGGAATTTTTAAATAGCGAACATAAAAAAAGATATAATTTAATATCTCCTTCATTTTAAAGTTATTTCAAAATTCAGATACATCGAGAACATATTGCTTTTGAAAATCGCTTACAAGCTGCTTTCAAACAAGTAACTATGCAGTACAAAACAATAAGTCGAGTGTCCCCATAACCCGCAGGTCACTTCAGCGATGATTCACCGTCGTGACTCAGGGCATTCCAACTAGCTGGTGCATACGACCACCTGATGAAATCGTTAGGAATATGGGATCACTGACCTTCGATGTATAACATTATTTTGCAATAAAGTGTACGCTTGTTTACACTTTATTGCAAATTATTGTCTTGTGCGTTTAATTACAAGGCAACATAGTTTTTATGAGATTTCCATCCTGTGAATACATATAGTACCTACATGATTATATACATGAGTAATGCAATTATTTATTTTTGTTTATTTATTCTCTTTACTTAATTATTATTATAATTTTATTACGAAATCTTAATTTGCCTGTATTTTTTTTTTATTTTATGCGAGATATTAGCAAAGGAACCGATTTATAATTCCTTTTGAAATCGAGATATTCTATCATGTTTTTCCTTTAAATATAATAAAATCGTTTTATCTCCAGAACCGATTTATGAAATACAATTCATAATATATATATATATATATATATAATCATCCTTCTTTATAATATTGGTAAAAATATTGAAAAAAAAAACATAAAAACAATATCATTTATATGTTTGTATATTCTTTATTTTTAAAATTAACATTTTTACAATACATTTAATGTATGCAAAAGTATAAATAAATACATAAATAAATAAATAATCATCCCTCTCTATGATATTAGCAAATATATTGAAAAAAAACAATAATTAAATAAGTTAACTCTTTATTTTTAAACAATAAACATAACATTTTTCATGCATATCTACATTTTGTATTTTGACTGATACTCGACTCCCTGACAGTCATGGTTTATTTTTATTGAAATAAAAATAAAAAAAAAAAAACATGTATAGTGTTACAAAGGCAACTTATCCCATTTTGAGTCATGCTATCTACAAATCAGATTCTGAGGAAAATTCTGACAGTATATATATTTTTTTTATACAACTTAAAATGGCAAACAAGCTGACGGTCCACCTGATGGAAAGTGGTAACCGTCGCCAATAGACATGAGCAGTACCATGGACATAACAGACTATATATACTGTTTCGCCCATGATACCCCCCATGCGTTGCCATTCCTGATGACTCAGGTGTTATTCCTCTGTACCCAGTAAATTCACGCCATATGCCACCCTTCAAACCGAAACACAGCCATGCAAACACAACTGCTTTACGGTTGAAACACAAATGGACAGAAGTACCCAAGTAAACGACTTAAGTATAAAATCTCCCTCTGATAATGTTATTTTTTAAAAGCTGTGGATTTTTTTATTAAAAAAAGTATTTCAATATTTTCCCCGTTCATTTGTATAAAGCCATTAAATTTCGTGAATTGATGAAAACTGTATCGTACCTTCAATTAAGACTGTACCACACATGAAAGGTATTGTTTCGAAACAGCCCCAAGCAGTATTGTCCATCTATTGGAGCTCTAACTGACCGGGAACAATTCAAACCCGAATTGTAAACAACATTTTTGAAAAAAGCCATATAAATGCCCGGCACATCAAAGCTCCGCCGTGACTCACAAACGATTGAAACGTTGTCGAATAAAAACCGTTTAAAATAACAAGTGACGATTTACCGTCAGACATCAATTTTGTGGACGTCGTAACCAATTTTAAACTTTAACACAATAGAGAGAGGAACGCTAATGACACAGAAGGAGCTGATTTTAATATATTGAAAAACACTGTGGGTGGCGAAGACTATAGAGGCGGTACGTTTGCAAACAACGAAGCGATTTCAAATAATAAAGCAAAAGGCGTTGCCAAATCCCATAGAAAGGTAGAAGCGGTGACTATAAAAGGTTCAATGGTAGCGGCAGTAAGTGACCTTTAGATAGTAGACAAAGGATGGTGGAGGGAAGTGTCCTGCTGTTTGGAAGAATAGCCAAAGCGTAACGTCTTCACTATTGACTATTCGGTTTTCTTTTAGATTAAAGACTTACGTTAGGGTTGTCAGTGTACCAAATTTAATATTTATATTTCGAATAAAATACAATTTTACTTATATCAGACGCAACCAAGCATACGGCTCCTCTGACATTAAAGCGGTTAATTAAGAGATTTAACAAAATTTCATCATAGTGTTTTATTTTCGATTAAGAACGATTCTGCCATTTTCTGTGCTCTTAATATTTTATAATGTATAAAAAAAAATAAGTTTTATGTAAATGTAAATATTAAATACATTAAAATAGGATAAAATACGTGTATTAATTTATTATAAGAGATGTAAAATACGAGTTATTTTAATGCCCAATAGTATATAATATAGAACTAAGATTAAAATAAACCGAAATTGAATAATGTTATTACATATTGTATTATTGAAATAAAAACTGCTACAAAAGTTTAAAGGTGGCAACTTTACTGTGATCATTCAACAGCTAAACAATTTTAGAAACGCAATAAATCTCTCAGATATAGTGACAACCCTAACTTTAAACTCAGCAACCGATATTTATTTCAACTTATTCGCACCTTACAATGTATTTTCAATTGTCCATAGTTCACAATATACTATCACATTATTTACAACCTAATACAATATGAACTACCATTTTACTGTCCGGCATTGTCTCCTAGTGCTCCTTTTAGTATTTTATGGGCATAATTAGTTCCCCCTCTATTGTTTGATTGAAAAGGGAACCATTGCAGCCTGTAACTAATTAGTCTCAATAGAAAGATTGTCAGCAAATAAACTTTTACTAAACAACCGTTGTATAACATTTTATTAACATACAGACTCTTTTTTATATCACTTAGTTGGCATACAAGCATACGTCCTACCTAATGGTAAGTGGTTACCGTAGCCTATGAACTCTTGCAAATTTTAGTTACATTATCTATATATTGGTTGAACAACAAATATGTTAAAATTTATGTCCATGGTACTGCTCATGTCTATAGGCGACGGTTACCATTTTTCATCAGGTGGGCCGTCAGCTTGTTTGCCATTCTAAGTTGCATAAAAAAAACATTGCTTCGTGCTTAAGTCATCTGTCCAATATTATAGTTCACTTCACATTTCCCCTAGTACCTACATCAGTACAATATATGATAATATATAATTGTTAAAAACTTACTTTATGACACAGACTTTAGGGTCCATTGACAGTAAGAAGTTGTTCAGGCTATTTTCGCAGTTGGTGTAGGCCATCCCGAAGCCGATCCCTCCACCGATATACATGGGCCATTTCCTTATGCCTTTCAGGAAGAAGCTGCCCATCATACTGCCGATGATGAGGCCGGCAGCTAGACAATCAGGAAAAAGAAAACTTTTAAATATAATATAACTTTAGTTTCTTTTATTATTTTACAGTTATCTTGCATATTAAATATTTATTTTTTCCACTTTTTCTTCTCCTTTCCTAGACCTAATTATTTCTCTCCTTTCAATTTATATCAATATTTAAACCCTCATAACCTTCTTTGCTTTAACGAGATCTTTTTTGTGGGAGGTAAATGGGTACTGTGGGAATCCCCCCGTAAGGTGGGGGTGTATTCACCAAAAACCAGATGATATACCCTCGAGGTGCCATATATCGGAGACATGGGTTCGCTTTCGCACTCACCACATCTCCGAGGGCAGCGACCCGCCCCCAGATGGTAAGAGCAGGTCTCCTCTCTCAAGATAGGGTGGATGGCGTGCTCACCCTACCACCGGAGGATGCGCCGGTATATTAGCACATCCCCCAGGACCATTGGGACAATACCTTTCCACAGGTATCACCCCGGCCCTAGTTGGGAAGGAGGAGGGGCGGAACTGGGCGCGCCCCTCCTTCTGCGTCTGACTCGTTTGCGGCGGATTGGCGGTGCGAGAGTGGCACTCTCCCGCTCCCTTTCCGCCGCCTCCTTCTGCGACATGACGGCATCGCAGAAGGCGAGCATCGCTTCCCACGATCTCTCACTGCTCACCATCCAACCACGGCGGGCAGCGAGAGATCGGTCCCCACTACCGTGAACAAGACACGACGCTCATCGGCATACGCTGGGCACTCCTCCAGTGTATGCTCCACCGTGTCCTGGTCCGCTCCACAAGCGTGGCACTCCTCCGTCGGCTCCCTGCGCGCGACATGACACATATATCGCACAAAGCACCCTTGCCCGGACAGTATCTGTGTCATCTTGAAGGTCAGCGGCCTTCGCCGCCTATCCATCCACTTCTTAAGAAGTGGACGGATAGCCTTGACGGTCCTCCGGCCGATGGATCGGCCAGCAGCTGTTTCCACTCCCGCTGCAGGACCCGTCGAACATGGGACTTCCGCAGCGCAACTTCCAGGCTGGAAGGCTCGGCACCCTGGCGCCTCCGCTCCGCACGCCACTCATAGACCGTGGGCTAACTGACTCGCCATTTCATTCTAACCTATCATATTTCCCTGGTGCCCCGCTGGCGGAGTTACTATACCATTATCATTTATTAAAAAGGAAAACTCACCAGTTTTTATGGCGAAATCAACGAAACAAGCGTTATACCTCTCCTCAAAGTCTCTACTATCCGGCTTTGTCATTTCACAAACTAAGTGGCGAATAGAGGACTGATTATAATGAAATACATAGCCGATTTATTGATAACCACTTATCTAAAGGAAATATTAAAATTAATGTCTAATTTTTGTACGAATAAAACTTACAAATTCACGATACAAATTTTGAACGATGACAACATTGATTGTCAGTGTCATTTTTCTAAATAGCAATTTGACGCACCGGCCAGTTCAAGAAAGTTATTCGAAGTGAAAAGTATTTATTCATTTATATTTTATTGACCACATTACAAAATGTTTGGTACGAAAAGAGGACTTAATGCTATATATATAGTATTTTCTCCCAGTCCAGTCGATGGCAAAAAAGAAATATAATTATGCGGTGAAAAAAATTTAAAATTATTGCAGACTACCTGTTCTCCGCGACTTTGTCCGCGTTTCCGTAGTTTTTCGTAAAATAAGTAGCCTATGTCCTTCCTCACGGTTCAGTGAGTTTTGACGTAACAGACACATTTATCTTCACTGCTCTGCTCCTATCGATCGTAGCATGTTGAAAAGTATACTATAACCTGCCCGGGAGTATGAAGAATAATTGTACCAAGTTTCGTTAAAATACGTCGAGTAGTTTTTGTTTCTATAACTAACATACAGACAAACAAACAGACAAAAATTTTACTGATTACATTTTTGGCATCAGTATCGATCACTAATCACCCCCTGATAGTTATTTTGGAAATATATTTCATGTACAGAATTGACCTCTCTACAGATTTATTATAAGTATAGATAGAATTTACAGACGTATTAATATTGACTTACAAATTATATAACACACACAATGGAGAACTACTGCACAATATGATCATATAAATATATTTACATGAATACATTAAACAAATATTACTTACGTATACAAATATAAACATACATACATACACGATAATATATTGCAATATCAATAAAGTATCAAACATAATGCAATATGTACATACATATATAATTTGGAAATTTCCTGCGCAAACATAGCTTCATCAATCGAAAAATAGAAAAAATTGCTCTACAAAGAAAAACTAAAGCTACAGTTGTAACTGTTGTTTTTTTTAATATAATATAATGTATGGGTGAAAAAGGATTGTTAGTAATGGAGACTGAGAATCCCATTGCTAGCAATATACCCAATCAGATCGACCTCCTCGTAGTTCCCCCTGAAAACTATCATGGTTAATTGCTGATGAAATCATAGTTTCCATCAATGTGGTCGTCACTGTAATAAAAATATTAAAATTTACAAAGTTATATATATATATATTAAGGTTTTATTAAAATAAATATTTTCAAGTTATTAACAAGAATTATGCACAGACGCCTATCTTATATTCTCGAGACGAATGAAGCTAGCTCTCAGTTGCTTGAAACATTTTCAAAGGCGTAAACTTTCATAAGAACAATTTAAAGGAATTCCCCATTAGTTGTAAATCGATTTGAAAAATTCTTTATTATCTGAAATTATATACTTACAGATTGATTCTATAGAAAATTTATCAAAATCGGTCAAGTAGTTTAGTTTTTAAATCAAAATAAATAGTTTTACCACAGTTGAAATGTTTTTTTTTCTTATAAAACCCAATCTTAAAATATTAATATTATAAGGTCATAGATTGTAATAATAAGTTATATATCAATATTTCCGTATGTTAATATGGTTCCGGCATAGAATAGGCCATCCCTTCCTTTCCCGTGCGTGTCGTAAGAGGTGATCAAAGGAGAGCGAGGGATGGGCAGCAGCGTCTCTTTTAAAACGTCTTCAAAACCAAACTGAGTTTACCAATTCGCCTGTCAAGCGTGGCAAACTACTGGAACAACCCCCCAAGGGGGAGGATTATGTTCAGCAATGGACAGTTAATGGCTGATATGATAATATTTATATTATTATATGTATCACATCTCCCATATTTAGAACTAACAAAATTTTTCATCGTCACTCCCACCAAATTGTTTATAATTACACCTCTCCATCCAAAGGTTGCCTGGAAGAGATCGCTCTTAGCGATAAGGCCGCCCATTGTTTTCTCATTGCGATTATTTCTTGTAATTATTTATATTTATAATAAGTTTACTATTGTAATCTTTTGGAGGAAACAATAAAGTGTATCTATCTATCTATATTAATACAACACACATCATTATTATGTTGAAAATCTTGTTTAACGCTACAATAACATTATACACTGATTTTCTTTGAACAATACAAACGCATGATTGCCCAGTCAATAATTCTGCAATTGGCCAACCGGTCGGACTTATTAACAGACGAAATAAGCTATACAAACACACGTCCAATTTGTAGCAAATCGTACTTAATTGATCCATTCTAAGCTTAATAGACAAAGGATTTAGCTAAACAAGCTTCGGGCCTAATCATCGTGGAGCGGAAATGGGGTAGGGCAGAATGGCTTCTAAATACATTTCTTGGCTATAGTAATAAACAATGAAATTTTTATAAATAAAATTGACTAGTCTAGAACTAGAAGGAGACTTTGTACAAAAATCGATTGCTTGGGTACCTCTGTCCCATTTGTGTTTCAACCGTGAAGCAGTTGTGTTTGCATGGCTGTGTTTCGGTTTGAAGGACGGGATATAGCGTGAATTTACTGGGTACAGAGGTATAACACCTGAGTCCTCAGGAATGGCAACGCATGAGGGGTATCATTGGCGAAACAGTATACTCTGTTAAGTCCATGGTACTGCTCATATCTATAGGCGATGGTTACCACTTTCCATCAGGTGGGCCGTCAGCTTGTTTGCCATTCTAAGTCGTATAAAAAAAAGTCACTACTTTTATTTGTAAATATAGAAAAACAATGCAATAAAAATACTATGAGCATTCTGAAATAGCAATAGAATGACGTCATTGAGCAAACGAACAAATGAAAAATGTATTTTCTTATTTGCGACATAGATATTTAAATTGATTGGGTAATTTAAAAATAATGCTAGAACTCTGTATTATTTATTACCTCTTTGAACTATGAAGAACAATCGCCGCAAAATTTGGCATATGTTATATAAATTACGCCACAAATCGGTACAATTCCACGCCACTTGCACCCAGCGCTTCCATGCTCTCTTAAGATCGTTACTCCATCTCGTGGCGATATTTTATATATATATACATATATATATATTTATAATAATATTAGTGAAATAATTTAATATATTTATATTAAAAAAAATCTCGTATCCATGGTCATGCTACCGCGATCCAAGTGATTGAGAGACAGGGTTGCTACCATACGTAATCCTATCTGCATGTCTTATCAAAGTGGTTTGCGGTAACGAAGCAAAATTGATAACCCTGATTGATGCGCCACAGAGCATAAAGGAATCCTGTTTATAATCTAGTCTACTGTGATATACATAGCTAATAATGCATGCATAATATATTTACTAGCAATGTATCTGATCTGAACATATGGCTTTATACCACTGTGACGATAAATATGTAAGCATCCATACCCACGGGAAAGGACGGGGCGGCCGATTCTATGCCGGAACTAAACGGTTAAACTAAACTAAACACATTACTAAATTAAAACTTCCATACTATCATAGTGTAAAGAACTAGTAACTTAACTCCTTTAGCATGTCTTGAATGATTATATGACAATTTGGAACGCATCGTTTTGTCTAGACCAGCCAAACTAAATTGTGTGATAACGCCCCCTTGTGGGCGCTGCAGGCCTAAAAGGGAGCGGTAAGAGACCCAGAAAAAAAATGGGGGCGTTGTGTAGAGGCTTGGGGGATGCATTGTTGATCTTAAAGTAATAGTGGTTTTAAAGTAGATAAAAAAAAGTGGGCGCTAAAAAATAAATTATTTCTCAAAGTGGGCAGTAGACAAAATAAGTTTGGGAAGCCCTAGTCTAGATATATCCATTGGACAGCTGGTACTCCGAATTTAACTTCTTAATAAAGTTTTTTTAAATATATAATATATTAAAAAATTTCCTCTTGTCGGTGCAACTAATTCATGGATTCCCTTCCAGACAGCTCTATTCCAGGTCATATCTTTGACTTTCCTACGACATGATAACTAGTATTTCTTTTATATATCCCATATAATTATTTCTCGGTCTTCCCCTTCCTCTTTTGTCCTCTATTTTTTCTTCTAGTTTGCTTTTTAAAAACCGCCATGTTATATAAGGAGGCTCAATATTTTGCCTCTTCTATTCTCTATTGTTTTTATTAACATTCTTTCCTCATTTACCCATTTCAAGGTAATCAATTAAATTTCAATATGTAGAATTTATACCGAAGATTTTACCTTTCATATACTAATGAAAAAGGGTCAACTCGTGTCGTTTTGAATAATATAAAATTATTAATTAAAATTTTTTAATTAAGTACGCAAAATTAAAAATTCTTTTGCGCCCACAAAAAGGGCATACGCGCGGTGCTTTGAATACAAATGTGCACAAACGGTGGGTGACCGGTCACTTAATTAAATATATATTTTATCGTATAGGTAACTCTTGGGAAAGGGGTTGAAATACTTAGATATTCGCTTGTAAGTTCCCAAAATTAATTTTATTTTATTTGATTTATATATATATATATATCAACTTAGAATAGCAAACAAGCAGGATGCGTTGCCATATTTGAGGACTCAGGTGTTATTCGTCTGTACCCTGTAAATTCACTGCCATATCCCACCCTTCAAACCAAAACACAAAGGCTTTACGGTTGAAACACGAATGGCACAGAGGTGCCCAAGCAAACGACTTTTGTACAGTCGCCCTTTGGTGGAGATCAAGGCTATTTAAAATTCTAGAAAAAACAAAAGTAATTGACGTGCAATTTGCATCGTCACCCTCTAAATATTATCATTTGGCATTATGCAAATATGCACTTTGAGGGTATAATTTGTTAATTGTTAAATCTGCTCGAAGCTATTTAGAATATCTTTGACGTATTTAGAGGTATTTATGATGAATTAGAAAGTGAACTTATTCCTTTATGGGATTAAGAGGAAGGGACAGACTTGTGTTCAAAAGGGTACTTATTATTGTTGACTTTTCAGATATATCTACTGTTAATCTTAACAAATATTCTTGTTGATATAATAATAATAATAATTAATTTAAAATTTATAATAATGTTCCCCAGCACTTAAAAAAATTACCAACTA